GATTTTCCAAGTGAAAGTTTTAGGCAATCTGGACCATAAAGCTGGAGACAGACAAGATCACCTCATTCACTCAAGTCAACAAATATTTATCGAACCCCTGCTCATGCCAGGTATTAGGCACTCCGGAAGACATGGTATCCAGGACAGCCTGAGGTCCTTTTCCTCACTTCAGAGTAATCAGAAGGGATTTCCTGGAGCTGGAGAGGCTTGAGAAGGTCATTCAGGGGAAGGTAAACGCTGGCCAGGCAAAGAAGGGTGGGGAGCAAAGCATGAATCATGTTCTGGATGCCTCGGAACTGGGTTCATGGGCAGCACAATGTCTTGTGTCTCCACAGCGCCGGCTACAGTGGGCACCCAATAGGAGTACTTATCAAGAGGTGAATGAACAAATGAATGGAGTCAAGCACAAGTCATTGCGAGAAAAACAGTTCATTCAGCTTGGCTGGAGAAGAGCTACCGTTCTGGAGACGGTGATACTGAAGACGGGAGACTGAAGCCAGGCCGCAGAGGACCTCGCTGAGAAGTGTGCACGTTGCTTGGGCCACGCCACACAGCCCCAAGTCTGGCAGGGCCGGAGTTGCTGGCCAGGCCACAGAGTGGATCCCGCAGGGCCTGTGTGGTCTGTCTCTGTTGTGGTTGCCACACCCACGCGCCACTGGTCCCGCCAGTCAGGCTCCGCCTAGCACCCTGTCCAGCACCACTCCACCCGAGGTCATGCCCCAGACACCACCGCCCTCCTGGCTCCCGGATCAAGCTGCCAGCTCAGCACTGCTGCCCCGTCTGTAATTGAAACACGGGCTCTCCCAGCCCAGCCGCTCACAGCCTTCTGCACCCCGGACATAGCCATTGCTGGAGCTGCCCAAACGGAGGGGCGGTCTGGTGTCCACCTGACCCTCGGGACCTGGGCTGCAGGTTGGGGACTAGTCTCTGCGAGGCTGGGGCGGGGCACAGTGGGAGCGCCTGTCGTGGGCTCTCTGGCCCAGGGCTGGGGAGACCACGCCCCCTCGTGGCCAGACGTACCCCCCACACCTTGGACTTGAGACCGTGACAATTTGCACCTTTCCTTTTTTTTTTTTTTTTAAAGGAAATACATTTCTGAAAAGCTGAGAACACACATAAATCATTTGCGTTAGGTTGCTATCTCAAGGAATCTCATAGTGAACAGTTTTGGAAAAAGCTGTCTTAGATTTTCTGAAGCCAAAGCAAATTTTTCTGACTCTAATTTCTTGTACATTTACCTGCTAAGGCAGGAGGATGTGAGGTCTGAAAACTGTTGTTTTAGTGATTTGCCAGCTCGGGGAAGAGTCTTCCCACGTCGATACATTCCGGGAGGTTATGGGAGCTACAGAACACAACTCCCACTCCTTTTGTGATTGTGACAGTCGTCTCAGGGCAAATAGGTGCCAAGTCTGTTGCGCGAACTATAAAAGTAAAAGCTCTCGACACATTCCTCAGCTCTGAAAACTCAGCATTTCACTTATCTAGTGCTTCTTTCCAGCGGGGGCCGACCTCTGCCTGCTGGGATATGAACTTCTTTACAAGCGTTTTTGTCTATCTGATGTAATGCCCTGTATTAGGCACTGGCTGTTACTGGTGGTGTTTGGGAGGAGGATGGCAATTCAAAAAATACCTAGCAGACACATCCTGATCTCAGGGACCTATCTCCACCTTAGACATAATGTACACAGATGACACAATTTGCAAACAATCACAAAATATAAACTAAACGCGCATGAGCTAAGAGCAGTAGTCAGAGTGGGTATAAGGCTGTTGGCCAGACACTTGCTGGAAACATGGTTTGAAGGGGTCTGGAAGATTGCCAAGCCCACAGACTGAGGCCTGTATGTCGGAGGAGGCCAGCATATCCATACCTTTGGAGACATCGCCATTATGTCCCCAAGGCACAGTGGCCCACTGGCACCTCCTCTCACTGTTTTGCCCTTGCTTAAGGACCCCACACTCTTCCTACCCTCTGGCTCCTGCTACTGGGCTGCCACATGATCAAACATGAGCCACCATCAGAGCTACCTGGCCCCTTGTACCCCTCTTACTGCCCCTAGCAGGCCTAAAGCTGTACCTGGGGGCTTCGGAGTACTCACCCCCGCAGTACCACCTCAGGGAGGCTCTGCTGGCTTTACGTTTCTCCCGGCCCGCTCTCCATCTCAGAAGGGAGATGCAGGCCTCTGGATCCCCACAGCCATGAAGGCTCCCAACCCCAGAAGCCAGGTCTTCCCACTCTCATGGGTCATGAACTGCAGTACATGAGGCGGGGTAGCTTGAGTGGAAGGTCATCATTGAGGAATGCTGAGTGGGGGGACTGAGGGATTCCACCAGTGGACGCACTTAGAGTGGGGGTACGCAGTTTGGAAACACGCAGAAACCAGAAAGATGCTCAGTCAGTAAGAAATTTAACCAAGGATAATGAAATGAACCAAATACTGAAATGCCTCAGGACATCAGGTCAAGGAAGACCAGGTAGTGTCTTACCACCCCAGGGTCTCGCTCCTTAGAATCATTTTACATTTCGATCCCACTAGGACTTCTCACCAGCCGGGGGGCACCTTGCCTCAGGACCACAAGGGCTGAATGTGACCCCAGTCTGTTTTTGAACTTCTGTTTTGGATTTGGCTGGTCACTGGATGACTGACTCAGTTGGACTCCCACAGTCTGGCTTCTGGACCCATCAACTTTGCCCCTGGGCCTGGGGGGTGCGCAGGGGCATCATGTGGTATAGTTTTGGCTCTTGGTACTAGAAACCCTCCTCAAACTGACTTGATCAGTGAGGACATTTCTGTGCCATGTCATAGGCTTTTCCACGGAGGGTGGCCCCCAGGGCATCTCAGTGAGGACCCAAAGCCCACAATTCATGGTTTCCTTTGGTGGCTCTTTCCCCACCACTGGAGACTGCGTTGCTGTCCTTCATGTACCAGTGCTTGACCCCCTGTGGCCTTGACAAGAGAATGTATTGTTAAGCAATTGGCTTTTTGCCAGTTTGACGGGTGAAATGTGCTATGGCAGTGTTATTTCCATTTTAACTGCTCTTATTAGGAGTGGAGTTAAGCTATTTTTTCATAGGCTTAAGGGCTGCTTATTTCCCTTTGCTGTGAACTTTGTCTTCACCTACTTTGCTCTTTTAATTGGGATACTGGTCTTGGATGCAGCTCTTTTCATCTCTCTGCTCTGGCCTTTCGGCCCTTGTTCCTGCTCAGGCTGGAACTAAGACGACAGCAGCAGGACCAGGCAGTGAGATGTGCAGAAACTGGGGGTGTCACCCCTGTTGGCAGCTAACCTAGTTCCCATTCCCAGCCGCCTTGTCCCTCTCCTGGTTCTTCTAGGAAAGAAACACCAAAAACTCACGTTCCCAGTCGGCCTTGAACTATAGGCATGGCCACGAGACACAGTTCAGCCCAATGATAGGGAAGTGGCGGAGTGCCAGGGACGTTCTGGGAAAGCTTTGGGCAGAAAAGGGGCAGGTGTCGCGGGCATAGTCCCTTTCTTCCGGCCCTAACGTGGACAGAATGGCTGGAGCAGCAACCTTCTTAGCACCACAAATGAAAGACAGAGAATCACAGAGACAGTGCCAGGAAGCATGTAGCTCTGGACTTTGTACTGAACTCACTAAGTATCTGTGCTCTTAAAGCCGCTGTTGGTCAGGGTGTGGGTCGGGCGGAGGGACTCTGTTGCTGGGTGATAAAAACATTTCAAACTGATGGACTGTGGCCTCTCTCAGGAGGGAGAAAACGTCCCAGAAGTCACCCTCCCCTCACCCTGGACTTCTCTGGATATTGTCCGATTGGGTCCCATGCCCTTTCCTGAACCAGTCACCCTCAAGCAGAATAGGATTCCCCTTAGGCCAAGGGGGTGACTCCTGGGTGTGGGGTCCATTTCCCTGAGGCATGTGGATGCAGGAAGAAAGGGGACACCCCGGGGTAGGTGGGGGTGGGGGTCGTGGCATTTTCTGAAAGGATGGCTGCTGGATGGGTGACCAGTGGGCTTTCCTGCACTGAATGGCAGCATTGTGGCTTCCCAGGTATGGGCCTGGGGGGATGATTTGTGTTTCACCTGCATGGATGGACCAATTGCCTAATTGTGCTGCTCCAGGGCACCGCTGGACTCCACCTGTGCGCAGAGGTTTGCAACATCCCTTACCTGTGAGGCATCAGTGCCATCCAAACCACCAATGGGCAGCTAGGTGCTGAGGCTACTCTCTCGGGAAGGTCAAAGAAATTGTTGTATTTCCTTCTTCAATAAGTAAATAGATTACGCTGATTTATGAACCCCATAAGGGCAGGGGCATATCAGTCCTGTTTTCCACTAGATCCCTAATCCCTAGCAATTGCTAAGAAACACTGAATGGACCTAGAGACCTGTCTTCACCTTGACATCACCCCACTGACTGGGGGCTGTGATAATTCGACCTGCTACCGTCAGACCTCACTGGGTAAGTGCCTGCTCCGTATCTCCCATCCCGACTGCAAGACTCTAGCAAGTCTGCTGGGGGACCTGCTGAACCCAGGACATCTGTGCCTAGTGTCAAGAGCCGAAGCTGGTCTGGAGCTGGGGCTGATGAACCCGTTCTGGTTCCCAGGAACCATCACTTCCTTTTCTAGAGCTTTCCAGATCACCCCTTTAATCTTGCTCAGCCCCCAGTCCAATGTTTGAAGTCTCTACCCTCTTCCCGAAACAGGAACGGCCTTTTGACCCAGGCCAACCTTCCAGCCCACTTTCACTGTAATTTTTCGAGACCGCGGGCAGTGACTCAGCATCCCATTTCTCAGTAGCCAGGATATAATTAGTCCAGGCCAAAGGGCCTTATTTCAAGTAGCCAGGAGCTCATTTACAAACTCTTGTGCTCCTCTCGGACTAGCTAAGTGCAAGCTCTTTCCTGGCAACCCTCACTCGCACGCACTGTTCTCTGCCAGGGCTGAAAGGCAAAGGCCCCATCGCCCGATGCACCCCCACCTTCCTAGGAGCCTCCCCCCACCCCCCTCTGTCCGCTCTTTCTTTTATCTCCTTGCTCTGCACAGAACTCACAGTTCCTTTTAATTGTCCTCCCTGGCAATATTCTGTTACAGCTGTTTATTTCCCACATTATAAGAAGTAACATAAGCCCATTAAAGAAAAAGCAGAAAATCCTGCTACGTAGGAAGATGAAGGAAGGAAAAACAGCCGACTGCCTCAGTGCCTAAACTCAAGCGCAGCAAACATCTCAGTGCCTCCCAGAAGCTATTCTGATGGGTCTCATTTATCTTTACGTGCCTTCTTTTTCAAATTTCCTTTTAAATCTGAGATCTGGTGTTTAACGTGTTGCATACCCTTCAAACAAGACAATTCTAGAATCACTGTGACCGTCCCCTAAGATTTGATCCACAGCAGCCCCAGCACAATCTCCAGGATGTCAGCACCACCAGGCAGAGCGACAGGGACAGGGACGGTCCTGGGAGCGGCCCGTGCAGACACAGCAAAAGTTTGCAAGGACACGACCCTCGTTATTACAGAACATTCCTACAGGCCTTCTTTGGGGAGGAGGCGTGAAGGTGGAGACAGAGAGGTGTGCTTTCCCTTTACTTTGTACACTTAAGAAAAATGGTTTTTGCAGCAATTCTTAACTTAGTTTCTTTAGTTCTGAAGTTTCCAAATTTTCCATGGGGAGCAGGTGTTGCTTCTGTGGTCACAAAAATGTAATGGATATGTCATGGGCTGAATTGGGTCCCTCAATATCCTTCTGTTGAAGTCCTAACCACCCCCAGTACCTCAGAAGGTGACTGTGTTTGCAGGTAGGGCCTTTGAAGAGGTTGTCACATTAGAGTGAAGTCGGTAGGGTGGGCCCTAACCTGATATGACAGGCGTCCTTATAAGAGGAGATGATCAGTGATCAGGACACAGACGTGCAGAGGAAAGGCCGTGTGGGAAGCCAAGGAGGGAGGCCTCAGAAGGAACCAGCCCCTGCCCGACAACTTGATCTTGGACATGTAGCCTCCTTGGATTTCTAACCGTAAGAAAACAAATTTCTGCTGCTTAAGCCACCCCATCTGTGGTACTTTGTTGTGGCAGCTCTGTGTAATTAAAGAGAGAGAAGATTGGCAATACAACAAGCTCTTGGTATTTCAAGTTTTTACACTGAAAGATTTTCCTGGTCACGAGAAACCCAGGATCAGCTCAGGAAGTAATTTGTAACTTTTTTTTTTTCCAGCTAGAATTCGAGCCTCAGCCTGTGGGGCAGCAGAGCAAAGGCCAGGTGTCCCCACTACAAGCCACCACCAGCCATCAACAGGAAGTGACGGTTCTTGGCCAGAAAAGCCTTCAAAAAAGCAGCCAGTGTTCTGTCTAATCTGGTGGCCGCTCAGGCCCACCACAGACTCCAGGCGTGGTTGCAACTCTTTCCCAGACCCCTTTGGAAATCGAATGACTATAAGCAACCTCTCCCTAGAAATATTCACACACATAGGATCGGCACAGTCATTCAGGGGGTTTGAGTTGTCACCCCTCCCACATCCGTGTACCCTAATTAAAACCTCTGCTCTAGTTACAAACATAAAAAGGCAATTTACAGAACTATTTCAGTTGGCCTCCTGCCTGCCCAAAGTTGCCCATCGGGTAAGAGAGAGGAGTAGCCTGAAAGGTAAAAGGGCAGACGTCACCTGGGAGGGAGCCAGGAAGCTGCACAAACATTTCCAAAGCAGGAGGGTGAAAGCTGCGCGGGGCTCCCTGGAGGACTTTCCCGAGACCAGCAGCCGAAGGCAGGGCCTGGAGAAGCATCGCTTTGCATCTGCCACCAGGAGAGGCAACCCTGACCAACCTTGTAGTCCTAGAAACTTCTCTTCTTGAGCTGAAGCTCAGCAGAGAGCAGAAGGCTTGGTGGAACCAAGTGTTGGATGAAGATGAAATTGGCCTAAATGACAAGAAAATGAAATTATGAACATAAAGCACCAGAGCGTTAAGTGGCCAAGTTCAGGGGCTTTTCTTTTCTATGCAGCCCCAATATGTCAGGCTTAGGGACTTTGCTGGGCGCTCCCCTACACTCAGCCAGTGATGGAGTGGAGAATAAATCATCGTGGGGAAAAATAATTTACAAGAATGGTCATTGTAGGGCTGTTTATATTAGTGAAAAATTGCCGCCAAATAGGGATTGCTGAAATAAACTATGGTGCCATCGCTGGATGGGCCAGCAGCCAAGTAAAATGATGGTGTAGAAAATGGGGCCAACACTTTTCCCCTCCCACTTCAAGCCACGGGGCCACTCTTCCTTTGAACTTTTCAAAGTGGACTTCACCTTAGGGGTGCAGGGGGCCACACCCAGCCTCTCCATCCCAGCACCGACTGAAGTACAAGATGATGTCTCCAAGTTTCACTCCATATAGGTTCAAACCCAGCAGGACCACCGAAAGGACAAGACCCTGTAGCTTGTTTCATCCTCTGTTCTTCTTTGTAAAACAGGCCATCACAGCAGGCAGCCTTTTTCTTTCAGGCCTACAGGAAGTGAGCCAGGTAATGGTGGAAGCACATTGGTTATGAGAGCAGATTCTGGACCCACACTTGGCTGGGCTTGGTGGTTCGATCCCAGCTCTGCCATTTTCTTTCTGTGTTTAACTTTTCTCATCTGTAAAATGAGGATAACAAAGCAGGGTTATGAGGGCTAAATGAACTAATATATCTGAAGTGCTTACATTTAGAATTAACATATCTAAACTACTCCGTCCAGCCGAGTAACCATCACCCACATGTACTTGGAATGAGCATTTGGGATGTGCCTTGTCCAAACCAAAATGTGCTGTGTGAATTCACATCGGATTCTGAAGACCTAATATGGAAAGAGGATGTAAATCTCACTAATTTCTTGATTAACATGTTGAATTGATAATATTTTGCACCTATTGGGTTAAACAAAACACTTTTATAATTAATTTCACTTTTGATTTTTTTGAACTTTTTAAAATGCAGAGGACTCCCTCACTTTTCCCTGGGTATCTGCCATGGATACACAAGGTATACATGCTAATAAATGTCTTGATTTTTAAAAAAATAAAAAAATTGAGTGCAGCTACAGAATATTTAAAATGACCTATGTAGCTTGCATTGTGTTTTTTGGACAGTGCTGGCCTAGAACAACGCCTGGCATGTAGCAAGAGTAATTATAGCTGCTATCAGTGTTTAGTGCCTGGCGCATGGTAAGCAATTATCAAGGGACAGTTTTTGTTCTGAAGACCTCTCCTGGGGTCCCCTCTTGGATATGCTTTGGAGTCCGGCCTGGAAGGGTGCTGCCGACTGATTCCCCACCTGGTTTGTCATATTCCTTCACAGTAAGAGCTCCTGGTCTGCCCCACGCACATGCACACATGGCTCAGGATCTGTGCAGGTGGAGGCTTTCCCCAGGTCCAGTCCTCCGTCACCTCACCCCGTCTCCCCAGCAGCCTTGGATCCTAAGCACCTCTGCCTTCCAGGCCGAGTTCACCCCACCTCGGCTTGGTGATCGCTCCCTGCTATCATCATGCTGTTTGTTTTCTCCCCAGGCCCTGCATGTCTGAGGCTTGATCTGGGATGCTCGGATGGAATGCTGCCAGAAGGGGCTGTTGGCAGGCTGCCAAGAGGCTGCCCACAGTGGCCTTTACCCTGAGAAATTCACTCCTGGATCCCCAGGCCTACCCTCAGCCTGGCAGCTGGCGGAGAGAAGACCCGAGTCTCAGCTGTGGGCTTGGACAACTCGATTTCTCAGGAGACCAATGTATACACCAGATGGCAGGTTTTCAATGCATTTAGCAGGGTGAGAACAGTTTGTTTAGGAAAATATCTCCATCAGCCGCTTTGGCTGAGAAAGGAGAGGTGCCAGGGCACTGCTGAAGGGAGACATTAAACACACAAGATGCCAAACAGCTTCACAGGGGTCGTTAACAGGAACCTGGAGGAAAGGACCCCAAAAGAGAGAAGACAGGAGAGAAGGTCAGAGAAATGACGGGGGTGCAGAGGGCAGAACAAAATGGCAGGAGCCACAGCCTGGGAGAAATTCCCAGTGGCAGGGACACCAAAGGGCTTTTTAGAACAATTGTGGTAAAATATACATAAAATTGACCATTTTAACATTTTCAGATGAAATGTGCAATTTTTGTGCAATTACCACCACCCATCTCCAGAGTTTTTTCCATCTTCCAAACTGAAACTCCATACCCATCAAATACTAACTCCCCATTTCCCCCAGTCCCTGGCAACCACTGTCCTACTTCCTATGAATTCGACTATCCTAGGGACCTCAGACAGGTGCAATCACACAGTACTCGCCCTTTGGTGTCTGGTTTATTTCGCTTAGCATATAATATCTTGAAGGTGCTTCTATGTTGTAGCATGTGACAGAATTTCCTTCCTTTTTAAGGCTGAATAATATTCCATTGTCTATCCATCATCCATTGGTAGACAGTTGGGTTGCTTCCACCTTTTGGTTATCGTGAGTTAGGCTGCCATGAACATGTGTGTGCAAATAGCTCTTTGAAACCCTGTCTTCAATTATTTTACGTATCTACCCACAAGTGGAATTGCTGGATCACATGATAACTCTGCTTTTAATTTTTGAGGAACTGCCATCCTGTTTTCCACAGTGGAAGTACTATTTTCCATTCTCAGCAACAGTGCACAAAAGTTCCTATTTCTCCACATCTCTCCAGCTTTTGCGATTTTCTGGTTTGTCTTATTTTTAATAGTAGCCATCCTAATGTGTGTGGAGAGGTATCTCAGTTGGTTTTGATTTGCATTTTGTGAGCTATTAGTTATGTTTACCAACGTTTTAGGGGCTTATTGGCCATTTTATATCATCTTTGGAGAAATGTCTGTTTCAGTCCTTTGCCCATTTTCTAGTGGGTTGGTTGTTCTGCTGCTGAGTTGTAGGATTATTTATATTCTTTGGTTACCAGCTCCCACATTAGATCTGTGATTTCTGTTTTCTCCCATTCTGCGGTTGCTTTTTTATTCTGTTGTTTCCTTTAATGCACAGAAGTTTTAAATTTTTATGAAGTACAATCTATCTTTTTTCTTTCATTGCCTCTCTTATCCAAAAAATCATTACCAAATCCAATGTCATGAAGCTTTCCCCTATGTTTTATGTTTTATTCTAAGAGTTTCATAGTTTTGCCTCTTATGTTTAGGTCTTTGATCTGTTTTGGGTTAATTTTGTATATAGGTGTTAGGTAAGAGCCCAACTTCATTCCTTTGCATGTGGAGATCTAGTTTCCCGGCACCATTTGTGGACAAGACTGTCCTTCCCCCATTGAACGGTCTTGGCACCCCTGTTGGAGATCATTTGACCATATACAGGAGGATTTATTTCTGGTTCTTCTATTCCATTGGCCTATGTCTCTGTCTTTATGCAAGTAACACATTATTTTGATTACTGGAGCTTTGTACTGAGTTCTGAAATCGGGAAGTGTGAGACCTCCAACTTTGTTCTTCTTCAAGATTGTTTTGGCTACTCGGGGTCTTTGGAGAACCCAAATGAATTTTAGGGTGGCTCTTTCTGTTTCTGCAAAAACATCGTTGGGATTTTTATACCATAAGACTTTTAAGACCGGGATCTGTAATACTTACTGCATTTTAAATTGTTTGTTTTTTCCTCATAGGTATACCTCTCTGTTGCCCTAAATTGTATCTTGTGTGAGGAGAAATTGCAGGTAAGAGTGACTCTGAGTCTAGGGTGGGCACAGCAGAGGGAAGAGAAGGGATGGGGAAGTGAGAGGCAGGGCCCTCGGGCGCAGGCAGTGCAGGACTGCAGCCATCAGGACTGGGAACAAGCCCTCTTGAACCCTGGAAGCAGTGAGGAGGATTCTGGGAGTCCACCGCCTTTGGGGTGGGAGTGGGAGGAGCTTCTGCTGGATCTCAAAGGCCCGGCCGCCCTGGGGTGAGCGACACCCCCTCTGCGGGCCCTGCGGAAGCCCCTCCCTGGGTAGACACTGCCACCTTCTGGCCCTTGGTCCACAGACCGCCCTGCCCGACTCCGGGAAGAGCCTTCCCCGGGCTTGGACGCCGGAGAGCGGAGCAGGGTCCCTTTACCTGTTTGCGATCCTGTCCTCCTGGGGCCACACCCGGTCCCCAGGCTGATCCCAAGCTTTGCGATCTTTCCGTTTCCTCGCACTGGTGGTTTAACACCACCGTCACTGTTTTACGTCTCCAAAGATAGCTTTGTTTGCCTTGATTTTCAGTGGCTGGGGGCAGGGCTCACTGTGGGTTGCCGCTATCACTGGTGTGAAGGCACCTGGGCCACAGGCCACCATTTCTTTCCTCCCCTTGTCCATTGTTTCTTCGTTTGAAAGTTGGTGGTCGTTGGCCGGGACCCCCATCACCTCTCCAGCACCTGCTCCCTCTCACGCAGGCCCACACGAGCCCTGTAACCAGTTAACCAGTTTCTCCAGTTTACCAAGGTGGTGTTTTCCTCTCTCCGCTTCTACCGGTGGTTACTTCTCTCTCATTACCTGAGCTGTGGGCACTTGCCTTCTGCCCGGAGAACCCCTCTGACCTGCCAGAAGTCCTTTGTTTTGGCGTCTCAGGCTCAGGCTCAGGGCAGGAAACCAAATCTCCTCCACCAGCAGGCCCTCCCAGCGCTTCACCTCCGACCACCCCGGGAAACTCCGGCCGCCCCGTGGGTCGGTCTCTTGCCTTACACTTGAGCCCAGGGGCTGAGGCGATGTTGCCCTGGCCTTGCTGGGGGAGGCCCTTCGCCCCCAAGGACTCTGCAGGGGCTGGGCCTGGAAGCCTGGCCCTAGGCCACGTTGCACCCACACCCGCTGCTCATCCCCCATGGCCACCCCCCTCTCCCGGGCCGCAGACCCTCTACACCACCCCCATTTCCTCCCTGCTCCCCGCAGGGCACATCTGCGCCTCTGGCAGTACAGGCCCTCCTTGTGCCACACACCTGCCAGCGGAGGCTGGAGCTCCCGAGACAGAGGTTCCCACCGAGGTCAGGCCCCCTCGGAGGCCCCGGACTGGACTGCGCAGCCCCAGGAGGGAGTGTGGCCACCGCGGCCCCATCCGGAAACAAGGGCATGCCCTCCCGGGGTCCCTGGGGCTGCTAAGGGCACCCTGAGTCGTCTCTACCCGTAGGTTTGACCCGGGACTTTGAAAGCTGTCCGGACTCATAAGGTCCAGTGACACAGATACGGGTTAACCTTTTTGCTCCCAAATTGTTCCACGGGGTGAATGTGGTACCAGGGGAGGCTTATCCGAGGGGCCCTCTGTAGGAAGTGGGAGGAAGTACCCCTCGGTGCTGCTGGTTGTCCCCCTGGCTTACAGACCTGGAAAGACTAGGTCCTGCGGACGCACCCCTGCCTCCCCGTGCTGCCTTCCAATTGCAGCTTCACGCAAACCATTCTCCACATTTCACGGTAGCGCTCTTTTCATATTTAGTTCACTTAAAAGCCTTCCAATGGCTTCCCACAGCTCCTGAAATAACGGTATCCTTACCTGCCTCCCAGAACCCACATAACCCGGACCCTGACCATTCCCTGAACTCACTACCTGTCCCTCTCCCCTCTGGCTCGGCACACTCCAGGGACACTGACCTGCTCCCAGTTTGGCATCTCAAGCCTGTGTCAGCCTCAGGGCCTTTGCACTTGCTGTTCCTTATGCTCAGAATGCTCTTCCCACAGATCACACATGGCTGGCTCCTTGGCATTTGGTCTGCAGCTCTAAGTCCTCCTTCCCTGACCACTCCGATCTAGAGTGGCCTCTCCTTTCCTTGGTGATTCACACGTATCCCTTTCTGAAGCTTAGGCTTCAGGGCCCCTCACTTGCCTAAGCCCCTTTCAAGGGTCAGCACATGATTTTATATTCTTTTCTAAAAAAGGAGCCCCCTGCCCTGCCCACCCAACTGTGTGAGCTTCAGGCACTGCTAAATCCATTTGTACCTAGAGCACGGGGCCAGGCTGCCTTTGGTACACCCTGTGCCTGCCTCTGGCAGAAAGACAAACTCAGCATTCTTCCTGCCAAGCTATTTTGACAGGCCCTTGGCCTCCCAGCTCTCAGGTCTGGGTGCCAAGAGGCAGCCTTGCCCAGAAATCTTGGTAACTGTCCTGCTTACTGTGTCCTGGATTCAGCAGGGGGTGGGAGGCATCCAAACTCCAGGAGCTGCTGTTTGTTCTTCTCCCTCTGGCTCCCCCCTGCTTCGCCTCCCCCAGGTGGACATAAACACTCTCAGCCAGCAGCCATCCTGCTCTAAACTACTCAGCAGGGAGACCGCAGAAACAAGGCTTGTGCAGAATCTTTGACCTCTTCCCTTCCAAGCTTTTCTGCAAAGCTTATCCTTGTCTGTCCCCTACCTCACCTCTCACCAGCTTGGGCAAACATTTAGCGCCCAGGGTTAACCCTCCCACTGCTTTGCCCTTGGCAGGCCTGGCTAATCTATCACAGAACTCTTTCTGGGGGGGGGCTCCTGTGTAACCACTCCTCAGATCAGAGAGGACCCCTCCTATATTTACCTCCTAATGAAACTCAGGTCTAAATTATTGAAGAGCTGAATCCAGTTCAAAGGAAAAGCACTAGTGCTTGCGATGAGTTCTGACATCTAGGCTGCATCTGGGGAGGCCAATTCCAAGGACATGTTTTCTGTTTGATCAAGTAAGGGGAGACCATGGCAGCTTGCAGTACATCCCATGACGCAGTGGGAAAATCACTGACCTACAGCCGCCGGTCCAGCTCTGTTCTGGGCAAAACCACTAACATCCTCTTTCTGCACACGGAATTGTACGCGTGCTGTGTGTGCCAACTTGGGCCGCTATAACAAATTACTGTAGACTGGGTGGCTTAAGCAACACTTATTTATCATAGTTCTGCAGTCTGGGAAGCCTGAGATAAGGGTGCTGGCCAATTCTGCCAGGTGAGAGCCCTTTTCCAGGTTGCAGACAGCCAACTTCTCCTGGTAAAGTTACAAGGTGGGAAGAAATCCAGAGACGCCCTCCTGCAGTTCTCACTGGGGGGCCATAGCACCCTTAGAACCTGGAGAGACTGTCACCTGCTGGTGGCGAAAGCAGTAAGAAAGGAGATGATGCGCTTATGGGCTCAATGGCTGTAGACACAGCCAGCCCCGACAGAGGTCCCAACATATGGCTGCTGGGACAATGACACCTGCAGGGATGGCCCCACTGCACACCTGTCACTTCCCGCTTCAGCTACGTCTCCTGGCAACCTCCTTGTACCTTTCTCCCAAATTTGTTGTTACAAACTCCACCCCTCTCCTCAGTGCCCCCAACCAGTCGCCCCCCTCACCTCTGCCTCTTTGTTTTCAGAGGAAATAGAGGCAGGCAGCAACCATCACATGCTCTCCTTGAGCAAAATTTTCAGACCCATGGCTTCTGCTTCTGTCTCTATGCTAGGACACTTAGTAGTAAGCAACATGTTAAAGAACACAAAATAATTGTGTATGAGCTGAAGGTACCACATGAGGGAAGACGGTGGAGGGAGAAAGGGGAAATCCCGGGTCCTTACCCTAGGAGTGTGGGCAGGTTGGCGCAGCACTCTAGTGAAGTCTTGGACTTCTCACCCACAGACCTGGGATAAGAATAGTGCCTACTTCACAGGACTGTGATGAGGTTCAGACAGTTATAAAGCTAGAGCGGGCACCCGGGGCACGTCGTCATTGTTTATATAACAGTCCCTGCTATTTGCAAGGGTATTCCTAACCCAGGCCCCGGGGCTGAGGGCCCGGAGCAGCCGGCTCCTCCCAGGGCTGCTCCTCTCCCCCTGGTCATCTGCATAACCTTGGGAGCACCTGACAGGGGTTCGGCCGGCCGTGGCTGGCCACGAAGCCGTATGTGCACTCCCAGGCCTTCCCGAGGCAGTCTGTCCTGAAGTGGGGGGAGGTGCTGATGCACAGGAATGACAAACAGCCTAGAGCCAAGGAAGGAAAAGGTCACCTGGGCCGAAACCTGTGGGGGGAGATGCAGTTACCAGGGGAATGAGCACCCGTCCTCCAGGAGGACACCGAGCCTGTTCTTAGAACTGTCCAGTTGTCGTGTCTTGAACTAAACACAAATGCTAATTGTCTGTGATTACAGGCTCGAAACACAGACCCGCGGACGACTAATTCAGAGGCGGCTGGAGCCAGTTTATACAGGCTCATGAGAGCCAAGTATTGAATTTTCAGGGATGCTGCAAGCCAGTTGTTAAACACAGTCATTATTAAAAATTAAGTTACGTGAATGTTCAATGACATAAATTATATTAAAAGGCTCAAACTCCTTCCTGTTAATTTTACCAGTACCTGTTCCCTTGAGGATATTTACATCTATTGTATCTGTGCGGTGGAAATACGACATAAATTTGGTCAGGGATGTTATGGTCATAGTTTGGCCCTGGTGGAAGTATTTATATCGGGATATAATTGCACACACGTACACACACAACCCTCCATAGAGCTGCCTATTAGAAACATTTACCATCACCGGACAAACAGGAATTGTCAGGAACTGTGTCTTTAGCTATTTCTCATGAGTTTCAGTTTTCCCCGTCTGCTCCCAAAACAGGGCCAGAGTCCCACTCTAGTCTTTGGGTTTCCCCACTCGAATTTTGGAGTGAGCTGCCCCTTACATGCAAATCTCACTAGTCTATAGTGTGTGAATAATCGTGGTGTGAATAATCGTGGCCATCACACTTGCCACAACCTCCCTCCGCTAAGTACTCATTTAACTTTCACAATGTCACTGTGAGGTCGGTATTGAACTTTGACTCTACCCATTTTGCAGATGATAAAGTGAGCCACAGAAGAGTTAAGCAACTCTCTCCCAAGCCAATCAGCCAAAACAGGTTAGATCCTCTCATAACCTTTAGCTCCACAGATAAAGAATAATCGGAAAATCTGAAAGGGAAGGTGATAAGGCCCAACTGTCATTTGTCAAGCTGCCAACTGGGCTTTAATTTTCAACCACCACAGGGCATTCATTCTGATCTAGTTTTATTGTTCTTAGTCACAGCCAATAAAACTATGGACTCAAAAAAAAATGTGACTATCCCAGGTCTTTAGGAGACTTTAATGAGCAAGTAAGACTGTTCTAGAGTCTTTTTCTTTTAATTGAAGTATCACTGATATTCAGTTGTGTTGGATTCAAGTATAGAACATTGTGGTTCAACAGTTACCTATGTTATTAAATCCTCAGTCCCACTACTGTGGTTACTATCTGTCAACATAAAAGATGTTACAGAATCATTGGTTATGTTCTCCATGCTGTACTGCCATCCCTGTGACCGACTTACATTATGATTGAGAATTTTTTTGCCTCTTTAGGGTCTTGTTTCAGATTCACTGTTCTAGATCCACTATTTATCAATCATTAATCAGGAATTGAGATCCAGCTATGCTACCTGGGCACCTTCCATGACAGCTAAGGCTTAAAATCACTTGTTGAAAGGTACACAGCTTGTAAGAGATGAGGACAGGCCACTAACCAGGCACGTCTATTTCCAGAGCCCCTGCTCCAGAGAAAGGCATGCCTATGAGGCAGCTATTAAAAAAAAAAAACAGCTTGTAGAAGAATAAATGGCAGGAAAAAAAATGCACGTAAAGTATTAAGTAAAAAATGGAGGTTAAAAAAAAATAACTGTATTTTATCAATTCTTAGATACATACTATTTTTCACATTTGAACATATCTGAAATAGGGTGCATCAAAAAATCAATTCTGGGTGAATTACACATATCATAGGTATCAATGTGAAAGGTAAAGCTATAAAGCTTCTAGAAGATACAATAGGAAAATATCTTAATAATCTAGGGGTTGGAAAAGCTTTATCAAGCAGGAAATGAAACATAAACAGAAGAGATCAATAAACTGGACTAAATTAAAATCAAGAACTTTTGTGCATCAGAAGACACCTTAAGAGAATGAGAAAGCAAGGCACGGAGTGGAAGGAAACTTCTGCAGTAGATGTACCCAAAAATGGGACCCATAGCAGAATCTCCCACAAATCACAAATGGGCGGACAGTGGCAAAACAAGCAAAGACTTGAACAGGCACTTTACAAAAGAGAACAGTCACATGATCACCAGCATATGAAAGGAGCTGACTCTCACTCACCTCTCCAGGGAAATGCAACTTAAGACCTCCAGGAGGTAGCAGGCACGCCCAGGACAATGACGAAAACTGAAAAGAACTGACAATGCCAAGTGTTGGTGAAGGCGTAGAGAAACTGAAACTCTCATATGCTGTTGGTAGAGTATTAATTATAATCACTTGGGAAGTTATTTGGCAGGGGCTGCTGAAGCTGGACACTTACGTATGTAGCCTATGACCCGGTAAGTCATTCCTAAATAGCAGCCCATGGAATGTCATAGGTATGCACAGCAAAAGACAAGAAGGTTCATTGACAGTAGCCCCCGGCCGATGCAATGAGATAAACGGCATCTGCAGACTCAGAAGTGGGCCCTCACCAGACATGGCACCTTGATCCTGAACTTCTCAGCCCCAGAACTGTGAGAAATAAATTTCTGTTGTTTAAGCCGAAACAAAACAAAACAATAGCCCCCAACTGGAAACAACCCAAATGTCCATCAATAGTAGAATAGACACATAAATTGGGGCAGATGCATAAAGTGGAATTGGAGAAAGCAACAGAATTAATAAATTATAGCTACATGCAAAAACGTGGATGAATTTCACAAATGTAATGCTGAGAAGTAAGACACAACAGAGTACATACTGTAGGACTCCATTTATATTTAAAAAATAGGCAAAACCGGTCCTTTTTGCAGAAGTTAAGAGAGTGGTTCCTTTGGGGAAGCTGGGAAAGTTAGTGCCTAGGAGGTGGTTTGA